TACTCATCGGCTTCAGCACATTGCGGCACGAATATATTTCGCGTATTGGGTAAGTATGCCTTCCCTTGATTGTATGAAGTAGTGACGCTATAGAAATACTAAAATTACATATTTTACGGTTGTATTAGAGCTTGTATTGTTTTTTTCTGGATGCAAAGTTTATATAGTTCTGTGAATTCTAAATAGAGGTTAAATAAAGGTAAATTTCACAAGTAGATCTAAGCTACTTCATGGAACTAGTCGTTTCGAAGCGTCAACCCAGCCATCACTATTAATCCATTTTTGAGGTTCTTTCCTTGAATCGCCGTGGGCCGGAGTGACCGAGAAATTGGTGAAAGAACAGGAATATGAGAACAAGTTTTCGGGTTGCAGGCCTTAAAGTGTTGAGGAAATACCACACGCTTCATTGTCTCCCTTTATCAACTTAAGAAAGACCATTGCGGCGGGAGTGATCATGGACGATGTGGACAGGATGGGTGTCTTTTCATAGCAGATAAATATCCTTGATGAGATATAGCATCGCAGCAACTGGGGAAGTTTCGGTGGGCTCCAGTGCTTCCGGTGTTGTATGAGCCGATCGTATTCCTCGTCGATGTTATCAAGAATGTCTCCTTCCAACACCCGACGAATGAACTGGATAAATCTCAGTTTGAGTGGTGTTTAGATTCCATTTTTTTTGAAATTAACGGCTTTTTCTCTTTTCCGAGAGAAATATAATATTGCACGAAAGAAGCGATGGTTTGATCCCATGTGCAATTTTGGAACAACAGTGACATCGGTAGGGCAAAATCTTTGATTTATTATGATGTGGTCTATTCGTTATGGTACTCTCCATTGGAAGACTCCCACACCCAGCGCTGAGGGTGGGGCTTTTGGAATTGCGAGTTACCATGGATTGTCTTGATCGCCATGATAAACTCAGACAGCCGCTCACCCTGTTCGTTCCATTCTAATCCGTGGGTCCCAATGTGACGTTCTTCAGGCGTTCTTCTTGGTCCAATTTTAGCTTATCTCCACTGATGACCATGAAGAATATATGGTCTTCTTGCTGCGGTTTCCCCATTCTCCGGTGTCATAGACGGCGTTAAATTGGCAGTCTCTTCTCATCTCAGTCAGTCGTCGTACCGTGCCGTTCTTACCTGCATGATCAAGCTTGCAATGAAGGATTCAGGTTCAACTGAACGTGTGTTGTAGGTACAGACCGTTAACTTAGCCTTCTGAGATATAGGAAGCCCAGAACGGCCCCGAGATTTTAACACTCTCTCCGAACTCGTCCTACCTAACGCTGCTGGATCGGGGTCCTTTTGAGATTAGGGGAATAAGGCCTGTTTACTTTACTGTGTTTGTTTAGCTTTCCACGTGGCGGCCGGGTGTACTCACAAATAACTTGACGGTATCTCCCATAGTAGAAGGAGAGCTTATTTGTTGGAGACGACTCCTAACCGTCTCCTACTTGCTTCCCTGTTGCTTGATTGTAGGCTTTCGGCCGAATTAAGTCGTAGAATAGAACCTGTATAAACGATAACATATGCACCAATGTATGAATGAACACATCCTTGTAAACAGAAGACGTATATGCCGAATCAGCGCAGAAACAGGGAGTCCATCCCTTGGATCCACCTGCGTCTCAGGGAAGCAATGGTCGCTCTTGGTTCGCTATTAGCCCCCTATCCACCACCTAGCATTCGCGCCTAACCGGCATGAGATCCCTCTATGAGGGGGATTCGTGAGACAATACGGGACTGGAAATCGATGCCCGAGAATTACTCTTATAAAACCAAGCATTTAACTATGCGAAGCTAATTTTGGCCGACTTCCCTGTGGAGAGATTGGTCTGCGACTAAACCTGACGAGAACGATATCCATGAGGAATGGACTTGTTCCAGATGCTCTGTTCACGCTCAATGGAATTAATATCGTGATGTCAACATGCCTCCCAGCTGTTAACCGCTTCATCGTGGCTGGGAGGTGCTCCTGGGTGTCGGACTGCGATGCACAGCTGGGGATTCGTCCCTTGGCGGGATCTCCCAAGCTGAGAAGGAGTCCAGCGTTTCCATCAGGAAGCCTAGCTAAGAGTAAACCAATACCAGAATCCGCCACCGTCCTGGTATCAAAGTCGCATGGTCGCGAATCTCCCTCTGACCCACAAGGGCTGCGATTGCCCGTGTTGGTGAAGACCTGGATTAGACTTTGGCCAGGCTGACCTCGGGATTCCAGGGAACCACAATGGCTTATTGAGCAAATCTTCGAAAACTGATGATTATGCTGGGGCCTGCACAGCCAGTGAGGACGGGTCGTTCAAGTGTCAATTGTCAAGTGATGTCAGCATGATGAACGCTTGACTCTGGAATCTAGCAGAAAGAAGACAGCGCCTTGGGAAGCTTCAAGAGCATAGCGGAGGTACTAAAAAGGAATAACGACACTCGACTGCATGATCTACTTTTCGACTCCAGGATTCTTCTTGCCTTAATGGATTCGCCGGAAACCTGGTCGCTACTTAAATAGGATGAAAGACCACTCAGCGTTATAGAATGTGTAGTTGGATAAGTTAATTGAAAAAAAGGTTCCGAAGCACTGACTCAAGTCAACGATCAAAAATTAAAGATGCTGTTCTTTACCGCCAAGTTGTCAAAAATAAGGTGGACTGGAAATGGAACGAGTTTGAGTGACAAACGGTAGGCAAGAGCCGTTAGCGACAAGAATACTGGATGAGGCAACCTCATTCCTGCGGTGATCCACTTTGGTTCAGTTCGATAAGGTCTAGAAATCTTACATCCTCGGAAATAATTGCCGTGGACATGTGATTCAAATATTCAGCTTTCTTAAAAAGGATATGTTAGCCGTCATAAATTGATGCCTAGTGGCAAATATAAGAATCACAGCTATATACAAGGCAGTTCACTCACAACTCTTTAAAGAGTAGGTGAATGACAGAATTTAAGAAAATGATTGTAGGCATGCAAAAGTATCAGACAGTTTTTTCCACACTATCAATGAAAAACATCTTAATAATCCACAAGACTCCACCAGTCAATGATTCGTGACAACTTCATGCAAGGGTAATAATAAATCAAAGTATTGACTACGACACCAAGGCGAATCGGTATTGAGTACATCGGCTACCACTGTTACGGATGAACAGATGGAAATGAAACGAGCCACTGCAGCTCGCTATGTTAGGATCGTATCCAACGCTTCCAAACGCAGACAAATCACCAAATCATAGTTTTTATGCGACTCAAATAGGATTTTAAGGATTCAAATAGAAAAGGTTTTTATTACAGCGAGAACATAGGATCTATTGGTGTGGGTGGCTAAGGTGGAGGTTGTACAGAACAAAGAATATGGAATGAACTCGCACATTAATCACAGATTATTACACGAACCGTGGAAGGCATCCACAACCAAGCTAAGCCCCAATACCAGAGGCAACCATAGAGGCAAATCCAATTCGCAGAGTGCAAAAAATCGTCGCAAAAACTCGCTGCAGGCAAACAATCACAAAAATACAATAAGAGTATTACAAACGAAGATATAGCGTATCCTCTGATTTGACTAAAGCCGTGCTGAAGTGATCGATAAGCACACGAGTGGATATGCAGGGTACATGAGGACCTCGTACTGTAGTGACATATTTACAACGACAATATATGAAAAAATCACAACGGCTGAATTGCATGTGGAAATGTACGGGCAGTGGGCTACAGTAAACCCTTAACATAACTGTATTCCTAAAATATCACTTGTGAAAAACGATCTCTTGATATATGTAGTCCATGAGGGAACGTTTATTGATATCCTAGACCAGGAAGAATATTGCCTTTAATAGAATTCAGTTCGGGAAGTCTTAGTGGAGTCCTGAGTGAACTGGATGAGTCTTGAAGGCTGGCGGCAAGACCAGAAGAAAGTGATGAAGACAGCGAAGATGAAAGCCCAGAGGAGAGCGACGACGGTAACGTGGAGTGCAGTGAGGGAAGCGACGAGAGTGGCGGCAAGCCGGAGTACGACGGCAAGTTGTTCATCTGCATTTGTTCGGTCTTGAACTGAACAGTAATTTTGCTGATTATGGTACACTCAGTCTTGCTCGGTTTGGAATTTCACAAACGTATTGACTTACCTTTATGGAAGGGTCTTGATGCAACTGGATGGGTGGAGTGGACATATGGGATGATGTCGGCTGTAGATGAGAGGAGGAGTGAGGCGTCACCAACATGTGTGTAGTGGACGACACCGCCTCGTCATCCTTCTCCATCTTCATCTCCTTCTCGTCTGGTTTGCAAGTGGTCGTCTTCCAGTGCGTTCGCAAACCCGATGGGCTGAAATACACCAATATAGTGGGCGAAAACCTCCAGATATGCCGATTCGACACGTATATGGGAATTTGAATGAGATCACTTGTTCATAAATTTTCATTGACTTCATGGATGTGTGCACCCTTTTGCTCCCCATCTCCTGATCTGGAATATTGTTGCTTGCAAAGAGTATGACGTTGTGATATACTCCCTTTGGATGTAATCATTACTTTAACCGCCTACAAATGTGAATCTGTAGTCTCTCAGTTCAGCACATTTGAAATTATAACACCATTGTGATGAAAAAAAAACAAAACCATCTATTTTCAATGTTAACCTTTCTTACTTGCTGCCTATCACAATTTTTCACGGTGGGACACTATGCGAAATACAACCGTATTGATGCTGAGATGTTTGCAAATTTCAGGACCGCAAGTATCTGCGGTGGAGAAAGAACGCACTATTACCCTTTCCGAGGACTAACGCGTTCACCACCACACCATGCGGATCGTTTCGCCTATCTCTCATCTATTTTCAGTCATGAGGACGTCGCTTATGCAGTTACTTCTTCACAAATTTTTCAGCACCAGTATTCGACAACGGGTTAATGAACTGCCTATAGAAGAAATTTTCTAAAAATCCTAAATAATACTGGCCATTTGAGGAACCGCCATCTTCTACTTCGAGGGGAAAACTGCGAAAAGAGCGTTATCTTAATTGGAAATGAATAGAGTTCACGATACAGATCAATGTTGTTGCTTGGAAGTAAATATCTTTGCTTCGTGCTCCATCGCTAGAAGCCTCCGTGTTCTGTTGTGGCATTAAGCCTCCAAAGACCATTCTAACACGGAACAATGACTACCGTGTGAGTATGAGAATAGGTGAGAGGCGATCCAGTCACAAATGACATGAACAGGAACGATCGCTCAAGAAACGGAGTGAAACCGACGCACGCACTGCTGAAGAGAGTCAGTTACAGACTAACTTCTATACCTGATGTACTTCTTCCCGCACGACATACACGCGTATGGTCGTTCGTTAGCGTGTAGGCGCTTATGCAGACGAAGGTGTACGTATTGCGTAAATTTGGCGTTACAAACATCACACCCGTAAGGCTTCTGGCCATTGTGCAATCGAAGGTGCGTTTTCAGATTCGAAGTTGACGAGAAACGCTTGTCACAGATATCGCAACGGTGAGGACGTTCGCCTAAAATGTACAGACCTTTTGATACTTCATTTATGGTTTCGAATTTTAGGCTACGAAGAGAAACAAGGTACTTTATAAAAACACAAAAAATCTGCGTAGAACTATCTATTGTTGAAAAATTGAAAATGGTTCCGTGCTAGCCGTCTCTGAAAGGAACCCTATTGTAAATCTTTCCACTTCGGATGTCATCACAGTCATCCATCCTAATCTTATCTGACATATTTTTCTCGGATACTGAAGAATGTACCAAATAGGCTGGTCTTCGGATCACACAAACTTCTTGGAAATTTCCGGAAATTTTCTTAGCTATTTCTTGGAGATGTACTGTTTTTGAAAAGATTACAACTTGTTCCGATAGATTAGTAACGGAAACTCATTGCACACCTGTGTGAACGAGATTGTGCTTCTGAAGGTGAGCCAACTGTGTGAACTCCTTTCCGCATACCGTGCACTTGAACGGGCGTTCACCGGTGTGGGTTCTGCAAAGATTCAAGGCACTGTGCCAATATAAGCGTGACAGGTGATTTGACATAAGGACAGGTTTTTTTGCAAAATTCACAAGAGTTCCAAGAACGCTTTTCGATTTCACATATATATGGAACACTGAAAATTGCGCAACCAACAATGGGTCTGCCTCACAACCGCGCGCACTGTTGGCTCCCGTCTATGACATCAAGCGGTGAGACGAACGGTCAAAGGCCATGCAATCTCAGGTTACTATGGACGTTACTGGAATCGGGGATGTGCCGGCCACACACACGACACGCCATGAAGACGATTTCTTATTGTGCACGTATAACACCAGAACACTGTCCTCAGACACCGATCTTCATGCCCCATCTTGAAGTCGCAGATCACATCAAATTCCATTCGACCGCCTTAGAAGAACCAAGGTACAGTACAAAGTAGACCGATACACGCCGATTAAACAACGAGATCCTTGCCATCTGTGGAGACTGTTGAGGAAAGGTCTCGTCACAAAATGTCGGTGGCGCATTCCTTGTCGTTCACCAGTCCATTGTCCATCCTCTCGACTTGTACGAGGTCATTCTCCTTGTTGACCGTCCTCCGCCTTCATCTAGCACGTCAAAAAAGATTACTATCATCAATTCCTACTCACCGACCGATGCAGCTGATGAGCATGAATTAGTTGCGTTCTACTAATAGTTTGAGGAAGTTATCCGCAATTATGTATCGTATTATAAATTTATTGTTGAAGACTCCAACGCCAGAATAGGAAAGGCCAACGAGAGTAAATACAGGATAGGATCGGAAAATTTGAACTAGGAGAAATAGATGGAATGGAAACCGTCTCGCAGTACCTCAGCAGCATGCTTCTTCTATGGAAGCTCGTTTTTCCAGAAAAAAGAGAGCCACCGTTGGCCAAGCGAGTCCCTTAACGGCATGATTCATGCGGAGATCGACCATATTCTCACAAACAGAAAATGGTCCTTAACTGACACACCGGCAGTCCCGTAATTCTGCACTAGTTCCAATTATTGCCTTTTTCGCGTGAAGATTCGATTCAACCGTGAGCTGGAAGAGAATTCATGCCACCGACTAAGAAGAAAAAATCCAGCTGTATATAACCAGAGTAACCTGAACGGAATCCTACCCAAACGTAACTGGCAGATTAAGGACGACACGCCTTATTGCACGTAGCCTTATTGAATGTGCCCTACAAGCTCTTTACGAATATTATCTTGGATGCACCAATGCACCATATATCAAGGACAATGGGTGTGGTGCAACCATCACAGCAAATAAGATTTCGACAGAGATTTTTACACGGACCACATCCAAACTGTGTCCAGGTTGACAGCAGTTTGTCGGGAATGCCATGTGCCCACTTCTTACTTATGCCGACTATGAAAAAGCGTTTGACAGCGTCGAAACGAGTGCAATATTATTAGCGCTTATTATTCAAGGAGTGGCCCCGTCCTACATAAAAACTTTATCTGACTGTTATCAAAACCGCGTCACGAAAACACAGATTCTCCACCGACCTTTTATCACACTCGTAGGCAAAAGTGTGCGACAAGGCTACATCATATCGCCAAAAGTATCTAGAACTGCATTGCAGTGTAAAACGAAGTCACTTGATTAGGACGAGAAGGGCATACTTATTGAAGGAAAATTCCTATTGAATCTTCCTTTCACCAACGACATTGTCATGTTTTCAAAAAAGTGCTAATGAAGTAGAGACGATGTTTAATGAATCAACGAAACGGGAAGATGGATCGCACTACGTATAGATCGGAAGAAGATCCAAGTTTACCCATGGTACGAAGGCAAACCAATCGAACTGGATGGTTCTATGATTGCACAACCCAGCTCGTGCGTGTACCTTGGTCGTTCAATGAGCATGGAGAGCAATATGCAGAAGAAATTAAACAGAGGAAGGATAGCGGCTTAGACCGCAATTGGCCCTCTCAACAAAACTACCGGCCAATAAAAGGAGCGCAAAATCCGAGCTCTCCTTCGCGATTGACCAGTTCTCCCAGCGTCCTGTTATGCAGAAGAGACGTGCGTTGATAATTCAACCGTCAGAAGCACGGCACACTGCTTACAGAACGCTTGAACGAAATATGACCGTCACAAACAACATCCAGTCAGTATGCGAAACTCCGATGTTCGAAATTTATCTCATCTTCGAGACCCAAGAGAAAACATCGGCAGCGAACCAATGAACCGCTCACATAATAAGAAGAACAGATGACTTATGGACGAAAAGAGAAGTGGAGTAGACTCCAAGAGAATGCAAGCGTGCGCTAGCAGATGGCAAGTATTTCATGATTACGTAGTAGACCTGTCGGACATCACCATGTTCGAAGGAGATCGAAACTATAGAGAACGATTGCGCGAGAGGAAAACGAGTGGTAAATATGTTGAGGCCCGCGCAACCAGTGGAGACGGGCCATCCAAGAATCCAAATAATACATTGTAGAATACGATCGCTTATTGTTACCGAGGTTTGATACATAACCGTCATATAATGAGAAGAACAGACAGCAAATGGTTACGAAAAGAGCTGTAGAGTGGACTCCATGAGAATGCAGTCGCCCTCTAGGACGACCATCACACGTTGGATGGATGTGTTCCCAAATAAAGTCACTTAGCTGTACTCGCAACCGCATTTGTTTCATAGATCACGGTATGAGACTCTCATCCGCCACCACGATCGAATCGAACTAAAACCATGGATAACGAATGCGAGGCAAAGAAATGAATGGATAATGTACTGGGGTCAGCATAACTCGTGAAGACAGGCCGTCTAAATAGCAAATAAGAAAGTAAGTGTATGCAACACTGGTTTTTATCATTGTACAATATGCAAAGTATCCTGTATATATTCTGAATGCCCCCATGTAACTCTTGCAGATTTTATAGCTCTTCGTCGCGAATTACCTGCCTTTCACTTGGTCGTCGAACGACTTTGGCAGGCTCAATCTTTTATTTCCCCCTCTAATAATCGCTCCAGCAAGTCGAGTAGCGCAGTAGTAGTGGTATCGATTACCATGAGCCCGGTAATCGTTTGATCGCGCTTCAGGCTCACCAGACTCCACATCCTTCCAGAGTCGGTAAATTGCTACGAGACTGGCTAGGCTACCTCAAGGCGCTAGCGAGAATCCACTCAAACAGCGTTCAGTAACATTAATGACAAAAAAGAGAAACATCAAGCAGCAAGCGATTCTACACACGTCAAGTTCGAAGACCTTCGCGGATGATGAATGCTAGGAAATGATTCGAATTCAAGAAGTGCTGAGATCCGCACAGTGTAGTAAATATGATATCAGGTCATGTAATAATAAAACAACAAACAAAATTAGTAGCCCAATGGGTTCTGCTAGCTACAGGTGATGGAAGAGCTGCACGTTTTTCTTAGCATCACCTTTAAAAACTCTCAACAACGGGCCGGTGGACTTTCTGTAATGGGTTCAACACGCCGTATCACCCAGTTGCAAACGGTTCTTGTCCAAGGTTTGTCGTTCGGGAACTGTCAGTGTTCGCCCCACCAACTGTCGATCGTCGAAATCTTTGCGAATCACGCAACGTCTCATAATTGATAGATGAGGTTGGCATGACTGCAGACTCTATGTCTCGCTTGGGTGATATGAGACACCAGCATTTCCCAATCGACACCACATTCAATAATTATGAGTAATTTTTGTACTCCACCGTTCCCTAACTTCGCCTTAAAAAAGAGTTATTCGTCTTTTGTCCTTAAAGTTCTCGGTAGGCTCTCGTTCTTAGTTTTAAGTCTTATGTAAGAGAACTGTTTACAAAAAGAACATACCTGACGTGTACCTTTAAGTTGGAGAGCTGCCCAAAGGTTTTGTGGCATTCTTTGCAAGCATAACGGGTCTTCCCGTTTTCTTGCTGTTGGATGTACTGAAATGGAAAGCAATCGATGGATTATTATAGAGGGGCAGGTCTTTTCCTCCAAGTAGCAAGTGTTTCAATGAATTCACCATATGCGACTATGCTCACTTCCTGCGAGCTTCTCCTTTCACTGTATAAAAACGGTAAAATTCGATAAAATGCAAAACGTCTACAGAACTTTTTCATACTTTTCTTCGCTTCCTGTCCTCAGAAAAACTTTCTCTTCTTTTTTAAATAAAAGGATAAAGCTTTCGGTGTTGATCCCTGGGGGATGTGACATGCATTCGACTTCATTAAGTATCGTTGGAAGTGATTGAATGCACATCTGGCCTTTACAATGAGTCGCGGTGGCCTATCAATGTATCGAGCCAGTGTTGCAATCCTCCCAGACAAGTCTGGTACCCAGTGAGCCACAGGCGCGGAGATCGATACTACGTGTGTGTTGCAGGGCGCCTCCGACAACTGCGCCACATGCGCCTTTCCTCCTTCTTACTGTCAAACATTCCGCAATAATTTCGAAACTTCTGGGCAATGTTATGACGATATTCATGAGTAACAGGCTTACCTTTGGTACGCCATAGCCTTCACTGTGATTGGGCGTGCTGGGTGCCGGAAATGATGGAGCCGGGAACGAAGCACTACCACCTCCGCCTCCACCGAAATGAGCTGAGAGACTGCCAGCGCCGAATGCTGGAGTTGCCGCCGAGAAGATCGGTTTCACGTCCTGGAATTCAACGTGTCAGTTGAACTGAAGAGATGTGTTCCGAAACCCAACGGTCTACTCAACGCCACTAGTTCACGTCCAAGTAAGTCAAATGCGCTCATCTAACCAATAAAAATATAGGGACAGCCCTTGTCTGACAACAGCATGCTCTCGGCATACGCGACGTACATCCCATCCAACTAGTATAGTTCTTCTTATACGTTTCCTATGTTCCCTACGCATGATTTTTTCAATCACTAACCCAGCTTTCAACGTTGTCAAATGTTTTCCCTGCAATTTCTCCTAAGAAAAGCCTTTTTTGCTTTAGGTAGATCTATTGTTATCCAACACGTTGTGTAAAGACAAGTCCTATATGATTTATTCATGACAGTGAAGCCTAATAAGTTAAGTAAAAATCAAAAGAATCTACCGAAAATTGTTAGCAGGATAACGATCTAGAAGTGTTAAAAAGGTATTCATGCTCGTCACTTTCCGTTGTTTCAAGGAACAAAGCTATTAAAAGAGCGGGGTTTCGTCCAGACGGATACAATGATTCCCCCAAGTAAAACGATACGTTGAAGAACATCGTCATATCCTGATGGGCAGAATTCTGCCTGTTCAATGCAACACTACTGAAAATACGAGTTCTGTCCAAAGAAATTGCGAGAATACACGCTTCTTTACACCAGAAAAGCGGACATTCATGTTGGTAGAATAAGAAAGAATGCATCATGTTGGCAACTATCCGCAGATTCTAATGGTTGAATGAATCATATACGGCTCATATGATTCGCGATTTATTAAACAGTTGTGAAATGAAAAGAGTCCCACTCGTAACAGCACGGCTCTCAGGAAGACGAAATCGCCGAAACGTCAGCCATCGACCAACAACATCAACAACAACGACAACGAAAAGTTGTACCAACCTCGCATCAGCTCAACAAGATCATATAAATAAACAGTGGAATGAAAGTAAAATTTTACAAAAACCTATACGCTCCATATAAAGACGAAGCAAAGTCTCTCTGTCAGCTCCTGTACTCCTAAAATACTCTAGTCATCGAAAAACCAGCATTTTCGAGAATATTTCGACAACAATATCTCCTGGAGAACAAGAATTTCCGACTTCTTAAATTGACGAAAAGTTTTATGGAATATGCTGTTTCAAGTTAGAAATACGAAAAGGAAGAAACCCTACAAGTTGCTGCCGCCTATGAAATAGGGAAGAAAGAAGTTTCCAGTAGATATTTGACAACAAGCTTGCCTAAAGTTCACTACCTTCGAATGTAAATAGAACAGCCAATATGGATTTCATCTTATTAGCATGCATTCAAAAAATGAGTCCACCAACGCTTTGACAGCTGAATTCAACGCATTTTGTCCCAACGTGATGAACTGAATTCTAGTCACAATGATGCTGATATTCGCGAAACTTGTACGTTGGCCAAATCGTCCAGTCTTTTTACATAACGAAACAATCAAAAGTCGCAGATAAAAATGCGTGTGCTCCCGGAAGGGAAAATCGTGGTTCGATCTGCCTGGGGTACAAGTTTTACGAATGTCTCGGCATCCTTGTGTTGTAATTCACATCATACAGTGTCGGTAGGCAGAAAATAAAAGGTTAGCATTGAATTCTAGTCACTTGACATAATCTTTTAAGCTATAACTTCGACGTCGGCTCATTTGAATAACACTCCACGTAGGCTACCACCTATGGTGGCAACACAAGCAAGGAATATTTCCATTTATCATGTTCACCAACTACAACGGCATCTCATAGTGAGCACTTATCACAGGCGTTTTTCGAATTCTGCGCTGAGCCTAAGCAACGACTTCTTGCGAAGTTCGTCGACTAAAACAGAGGTCAATGGAAAGATGCACTAAAAGCAGTGCTGACGAGCTAGTATCACTTCATTTCCCTTCTAGTGCCATGTAAAAATGGTCGTTGATTGTGTATCTCGTTGAAAGCACAAGGAAGCTGAGAATTACGACCATCTCCAACCGCAACACACATACGTCAACGAAAACAACAATGAAGAGCAACTTCACTGCTGGCGACAGCTAACGATATTTTATCGGGAAGCGTTAGTAATGGTCGCAAAGAGAACAAAGCAATATTGCTAATATTGTATTGTTCATATAAGAACTCGGCGGAATTTTACTAGATACTTGGATGGTTCTTCCACAAGGTGAGGCCTCAAGCACTGTCTTCTTCAGTCTCGTTTCCTTACGATCGCCACTATTGTTGATGATCTTCTTCGTGTTCAAGTACCAATCCGTAATCTTTAGCTCGAGTTCAACTATGGACAAACGTATTCTTGCGCAACAATTGTCGAGTCCACACACCACTTGAATGACTCAGTCATCTATGCACATCTACGTTTAGTGCAATTGCAAAGACGCGATGCTTTTCGCACTTACGAACAAAAAAACTCGGATTTGATAATGGAGTTATTATTTGGATACTTGGACGACCCGCCCTCACTGGTTGTGCGGGCGCCAGCATGTTCTCCATTTTTCGGAGTTTTACTGGGTTAGCCATTGTATTTCCCTGGAGTCCACAGGTGAGTCTGGCCAGACTCTGTCCCAGATGGTCACCACCACAGACAGTCTCAGTCCTCGTGGACCAGAGGGAGATTTACCACTATGCGATTAATTTGATACTGGCATGGTGGTGGATCCTGGTATTGGTTTACTCTTAGCTGAGCTTCCTGATGGAAACGCCGGGCTCCTTCCCAGCTTGGGAGACCTTGTCACCGGGACACCGGGATGAATCCCACCGCTGTACATAACAGCCGGACACCCAAGAAAACCCGCCAGCCACGATGAGGCCGTAAACCGTTTGGAAGAATGGAGGTAATACTGGAATGGAACTAGTTATTAGTGGAAAAAATGCTCTAATATGTTCAATATCCATTAAAGGTAAAGCCACAATTAGGTAGTGGAGGTATGCGTGCACTGTTGAGTGACACAAGTGAGCACGAAATTCCGGTCCTATGAGATAGCGACTTTTTAGAGAATGGGCCAAAATCGATCTGAGCTAATCGCTCCTTTAGTAGAAGTCTCTAATATTAAGGATTGATCTCAATTCCATTTGTTCTCTATCGTACTTAGGTCCTCTGTGAACTGAATATTCCGATTTATTCACATTCCTATGTTTCGCGGAAATGATGAGTGCGATAACATGACGGCATCTTACTGCAACGCTTGAGCTCACCGCGTTATTTGAGAAAATTGTACGTAAAATGAGATGGGAGAAGATTAGAATAAGGATACGAAGCCATTAATCTCAGGATTTTCGACCGGTCACAGAGCACGGTTGTTGTTGCGTTTAGAATGTGGAATGAAAATTAATGAAAATATTCTCTACAAAGAGTGAATTCATACGTTATCTGCTATCCATGGAACAAACAGAGCAAACATTACAAACCTCTTCAGATCTATCCATCTAGGCCTAGAAGTGAAGACAATCAAGAGCATGCAATGAGCTGATGATGAAGCAGAAATCGGCTGGTGTAATAACGGTGCTTTCAAAGGTAAGTAAAATTGACGAAAAAGATAAAGAACACCAGAAATCAAAGTTCTTTCTATGCCGGTATAATCTTCGTACATATGTTGATAATACATGTTTCCCAGGAGTGAAGTCAGTGTAGGTAAACGCGCCATTTTGTAGTCACGGGAGGAAATCAGGTACACTACTTCATAGAACGTGAAAGTTAAGATGGAAATCGTCATATGGTCCAGAAGATCCACTGGATAAGCGCATCTACCACTAGTCGCTCAGAGGTGTCACACCGGATCTGACGTCTTAGTAAGAAAACGTCCTATCAATCTCTTCATGCTTCTTCAGCAGTGAGAACACAATGTCTTAACTTTTATTTACCACCCAATCTTTCTTTCACGTCTTCACGATGTGAACTACAATATAGCTATAACGATTCCGAGGTATGAACAAAACTGGGAACGTTGGATTCCAACTCGCAATTACCCTTACTAGGGACTCACCTGTTATCCGCTTCACCAACCGTGTCCCATGCTTTGCCTTTCTCTAGGCCAAATCTCCACTCTTTCGATGCTATAAGAAATTATCCGCCAACGAAAACGATCTACATTTTTTAGTTTTCTCATATCTCAACAACCTTGTGGATGTATTTCACACAGTAGCCTCCCTTGAAAAAAGAATAAACAGTACATAGAAGTTAAGAAATGGCAATTTCGATTGGAGTTCGAGCATAACTGGGTTCAACGCCGATCTGTTCTCTACAGACCATTCCCGCCGACGGGTGGTTGCTGATACCGCCGACTGAGTAAAAACTAGCTCAGAGAAAGGTACAGCAAGAGTCACAGTTGGTGTGATAGATAAGAAGTGAGGGCAATAGCTGGTTCAAAGTTCGTCAAATCCCGGTGTTTACTCATCATATTTCTGCGTCCTTGTGATGGAATGTCAGTTTCCTCACGATATGAGAACGATTCGAGAAGTCACTGGTAACCGTTCAATAATTAATGAAAATAGAAGTGAACAAGTGATGTACGTAGCTTCCCCGATGTGAACGTTAAACGTTTCTACTTTACACCACGAGTGCTTCACCGAGGTTAACTTACGTCTTACTCTTTGAGTGCTATGTCTTTCATAAAGAAGTTGTCAATTTGACAACACTGACAAATTGCATGTAACCACCCGTACCTGACTGCCATAAATTCCATTATAGTTGCCAAATCCGCTACCGGCCGTGGCAGCTAGGATCGGCTGTGCGTCGCTTGGTCTCCCTGATGCTGTGATTCTGGTCGCTGCAGCTGCAGTCGCAGCGGTTGCAGCTGCTGCTGGAGTTGATGGAGGCACCCAGAGACCTCCAGCACCTGGTCAAAAGGAATTGAAAAACGGAAATGTTAATCAGAAGTGAATTTAAACGATCCAGGATATCAACGTGAAGTACTTTGCTCGTAAACAGGGTCTCGTCACACACTTGCGCCTTTGCTTCGAGGTGACAACTCTTCTTATTAAACTGCCAAATTGCACTCATTTTCAAATGTCTTTAAAACCGCGCAGCCTAAGGGTAGGAATAGAAGTGGAATATCTCATAGCGATGAACCTGCGAACTCTGTAGCAAACTGTTCACATGAAGTCTCATAACGTCTGCTCCGTATTCAAAACGCCGCAGTTAGATTATCGTAGTTATCAAGAGAGGAAAAAAAAAAGAATAGTGTGGAGTGTACGTACTCAACTGTTGCGTCCTTCGGAAATAATCTTGAAATAGAGAAAGCGGGTTGAGAGGGCTGGGTCGGACCGGTGATGGAGCAGGTAAGGAGGCGAGGCGAGTGGGAATGGGTCGATGCACTGGGTTCTGGATTACATTTGGACGAGTTTGAACCTCAGCAAGTGATGGTGGAGAACTGCTAAATTCACTTCTAAAGAGCTTCATATATGAGCTGGTAATCAAAATAACGATCACGCTCAGTAGAAATCTTCATCGAACCTATTTGAATTGCTCTTCTCCGACTCGCCGTCGTCGATTTGCTCGACATCGGACATATCGCCCCGGTCTGCTTTCTCGCTGCGACTGCTCTCTATTGCGTCGCGCTTCATACTGTAATCAAGCGCCTCCTGTGGAGATCCACGGTCCTCCATAACCCATGGTTGTTGTGGTGCAGGAAGAGCACGCCTCGATGCTGAAAAGCGAACTCACTATTGGCGAAACCTTTACTATCCGGTGAGGAAGCAGCGAAAGAAATTTTTTTGACAATTTTCCGTTCCTACTTGACAACAGTGAATCTCATTCGTTTTTGTTGGTTCTTGTTTTCATTTGCTGAATTCACCTTTATGAAATAATGACATAACGAGTTTCTTCGTGATTCCTATGCGTTCTTTTACCAGTGGATAGGAAAAAAACAGGCGTCGTAGCCTGTTTCTCCTCCCTTACCCATTCGCGCTATTTCGCATGAAACCGGATAGTTGATTTTCTGCGAGTAGTCCTTACTGAACCAAAACGTCAGCTCGCTGTTTGGCTTGATTGAGCGAATCGAGTAGAAGTAGATGTCCTTTTCTATCTGAAGACAATGATTTTACTCAGATGTATATTTAATTGTTAGACATTTTGCTAACTTTCTAAATATTCGCTCCAAAACAAATGCAAAATCAAGGCCCCTTGTTTATCTGCCCTCCAACAAAGGAGATAGCAGTGTAAAGCAGTTAAAAACCATTGCATTAGATTTTTTATTGTAAATAGAACTGAAGGAGGTAGCGATCGCTTCTTACTATAAAAGGATAAAGAGAAGAAAGCGGTTGGTGTTTATCAAACCCTGAGAGATTAGCCATTCATTCGACTCCAGTGCTACTCTCTTCTCAGGCAAGTTTGGCAACAATTTGCTGAATCCAGAGGAATGGGAGTTTGACGGGTTCGGGGCGCGAGATCGAACCAGAGACTATGTGTGCATTGCAGAGCACCTATAGCTCCTAAGCTACACGCACTATAGCCTATGATCGCCATGGAGACTGGATTCTTATCGATATATTTTTATAACGATATCTTTGCACTATTGAAGGCAGTCTGTTGTACCGATTATAATAACATGTTCGCGCCTAAAACTCCACTGTTAGAATCAAAGCCGATTTATATGCTAAATAGCAGAGGTGCTTCTCAACCACGCAATGAGGATGTTCATCAATTTCTTTTTTCGAAATTCTTTGGAATTCCAGGCGTTGTCGTTTCCCAAACTGACATGTCATTAAATAAAAATTTTAAGGTGCCCACCTGACAGGCGACCAGATTCTGTGACTCGTTCGTCATGGCGACGTTCACGAATTTCATCCAGTTGCACCGACTGTCATCTTCCACAATGATCGTCTTCAACGCCCGTCCCCCAGAAGGCGACGTTACCTGAATAAATACGCAGCTGTTCTTTTTCTTCTCATGTAATCTGTTTCCCTTTATGATCGCAAATTTTTAATGGCTCGTTCCTCTACTTTTAAGACGACCACCGTGTTATCATTTCTTAGCTAATTTGTCAAACAAATGATCAACAATACCATTGCTTTTCTTTTGTTGGAGAATTCATCGAAAGCAGTTGCAAATTTCGTTCGACAGGACTTTGCAATGTTTTTGAAAGATAGTAGAAACGATAGCAATGTTTGCTGTCAAGTCTCTATTTGACGCACCTTCCACTTTTTGGGCGCGGCGGTGAGCGGCGGCGATGCGGAACGGGTACGGCCCGACGCCGATGGTCCGCCGGCACCTGCGGCTTCCGCCGGACAGATGAGCGCGCAGTCGGCCCCGTTCATCTGCTGCACCTCGCCGAGCAGAGGTCCGAATCGGACTCCCCTCGGTATGTAGTCGACTGACCACACGCCCATTCGCTGAAAAGTGCACATGACAAACCTCTGGCAGAAATAAGCGGCTTTGGGAGCAGCCGTCGGCGGCTGTTTCAACGAATTTCTTATCGCCGCCTTCGATGAAAGCACTACAGAAGCGGTGGGCGACACAGTGACAAGCTTCTCACCGATGGATCTTCAGTCGATGGACGGATGGTGAGATTGAGAGGTAGCGAGGTGATCGCACGATTCTTCGCATCCTAAATAAATTAGCATCGCATTCGTATTAGAACTAGTACTACAATTACGCATAGTATTTAGCCATAAAGGAATGTATGGATAAACACTATAGTATTCGTGTTCAATTCAGTGTGTTCCAGAAACTTTTTTACTACACTATGTAGATCGGCTCGATAGCTAATGGAAAGCAGATAAGGGTAGGGCGAGACCAGAAAAACTATGCGCTCCACTCAATGAATTACAAAAAACCTTTGTTGAAAAACTTGATTGACCGGTAGTTTGACTAAAATTAATTGCTATTTCATGCCATGGCCATCGTATGGAATGTGCCGTTGTAGAAAACGCCAAAACACGCTCAAGATGGGGTGCAAAGTACTTCCAAGTGTTGACAGCAATGTATTTTTAACAGGTAATACTAACACACAGTAAGTAGTAGCAAACAGATCATTCATAACCATAGAACGACAAAACAAAGTCTCTTCTACAATTCTGCCATCCTCATAAGCCCTAGTACACTTTAGTTATTCAAAAATTATTTCTTATTGTCAAAAAACCAGAAAGCCCGCAACCGACGAGAAATTGGTAGCATTCCATCAGGAGAGTGGCGCTAAACGGAGCGCGCGCGTTCGCTGTGGGCTAAATCCTTATACATCCAGCATTTTTCAAGCTTAGAAGAACTAAATAAAGCACAAATTAGGTGAATATTCTTTAATAACCTCTCAATATTCTGTTTCAACAACGACATCAGTGATTCCATGGCGCGCACAAGAATTCAACGTGAACTACGCCATCGATTTGATCAGGTCCTGTACAAATTACCTAGTTCTTTCTCAAAAGCAATAATATTTCGTTATTCCCAGTTTGATCCCTGCTCACCATGGGTGACCATTTCCAACAGAATAAAATATTTATGAAGACGATAGCTGATTTTCCACATTACGCATTACGAAGTCTGAAGCATCCTGTCTGGGTTTTTTCGCAGGACCGACCGAACGTGCCTAACCCAATTTTACTTCTTAACATTCTGAATTACCCCCACTACTTACTGTAGCTAAGAGATAAGAACTTCGGAGGTCAAAGTTTATATACAAGGTGGATCACCAGTGAGCACAAAAGGTTTAGAACGCTAATACGTTAATGCTCAATAAAAAGGAGAAAAATTCAGCGGCTTTTTCACGAATTTAACTTTAACAGAGGCCGTCCGATCATTCAATGTTTGCTGTTTCGACTGCTCCTACCCAGATTTTTAAGAAAACTTCAAGCAACTCCTGAACGAATGGTTTTTTAAATCTCATCATGTATACTCTTTATTATTTCTTAATCGGAAAGCTCCTCCCAGCGGTTACTGCCTCATCGTGGCTGGGAGGTGTCCTGCGTGTCCGGCTACGATGCACAGCGGAGGGATTCGTCCCTCCGGCAGGGTCTCCCAAACTGAGAAAGAGTCTGGCATTTCCATCAGGAAGCCTAGCTAAGAGTAAACCAATGCCAGGGTCCACTACCGTCGTGATATCAAACTAGGCGCATGGTGGCAAATTTCCTTTTGACCCACAAAAGCCGGCGACTGCCTATGGTGATGATGATCTGCAGTAGACTTTGGCCAGGTTGAGATCGGGACACCAGAAAACCACAATGCCAGCAGCCAGCAAAACTCCGAAAAAATGGAAATTATGCTGCGGCCAGCACAACAAGTGAAGACGGGCCATCCAAATATCCAAGTAAGTAATCGGAAAGCTGGTGTAGTGAATCGATGGTTTTATCTAATCATGGGGCAGTGACATTTAAATCAATCATAGTACGAATTTCGTCGGAATATTCCACTGTAATAACTCGCTCCTCACCGTAATCGATCGGAAAAAAGAGGACATTTTGCAAAGGAAGCTTATTTTCGGAATATCGCATTGTCTTCATGTAACGATCTCTGCAGAAAATCCACCCGTTGGAAGTGTTCATACGCCTCAATAATTTGCCAAGTCCTAAACCACTCGCTGCAAAGAAAGAAGTCTAACGGAAACAAGAGGAAATCCAGTTCATAAACTCAATGTGAATAAAGAAGGATAAAGGATAAAGCTCTTAGTCTTTATCAATCCCTTAGGGATTAATGCGCCATGCATTCGACTTCATTAAGCATCATTGGCGGTGATTGAACGCATATCTGGCCTCTACAATGACTTGCAGTGGCCTTCTGATGTATCGAGCCAATGCTGCTATCCTCACAGACAAGTCTGGTACCAATTTGCCGACTCCAGAGGGACGGAAGGCCTGGTGAGCCACGGATGCGGGGATCGATCCCTTATTAGGAAACCTTGACCCGAAAAACTTGCTTTTGTTAACTAGAAAATTTAAGTCCTACTCAACTGCTTCTAGTTTGGTTCACTGGTAAACTTCTTCAATTCAAAGTCAACCTTTCTACAGTGAATAGCATTTGTTTCTAAGAAGTGAAGGGTAAGCGAGATGAAGCAACAGGGTACTAAAACGAGGGAACACAAATGGTTAATGTAAAAGTAGAGAGCTAGGAACAGAAGACAAGAGAAGGCCTTTCTACGACTTCAAGAGTTTCAAAATCAAATCAATTACTTTCGACATGCAATAGAAAATACCAAGTTCGACATCTTAGCACATCAAATGGGATAACGTGATGAGCCAGAACACGGAGTTGTCCTTCACGGTGAGCATACCTCATCCGAAGTGTCTAAGGTACAGTCGTTACTAACGGCTAACCACCTACCTGATGCTGAACCGGCTTGTCGGGAACGTGGAAGACACAAAGCTGTGCCAGCGTCTCGTCGTTAATCTCACGCCAATCCCAATCCGCCATTTGCGACGAGTCGTGTGACACTACAACTCAGCTTAATGCTCATCGTCATTCACCAATACATACTATTTCATCCATTCAGTAATTTACTTCGAGATTAGCATTTTATTGTGCTGACATCAAAGTACAAAGTGGCTACAAATCTCTATTATGGCAGTCGTCTCGACTTCATCCCCTTCACATTCGCAATGATTACAGTCTAATGTCCGCGCGAAGTGCTGTTCCACCCCACCCGATTCGATGTGACTACGGAAACACATACATCACTAAGAATGGCCACTCTGGACACTCGATTCGAACCATTGCGGCTTTGGGAAAGGCGATGATGCGAAGACTTCGGCCACACAAAATTTTTGTAGCAACTTCATGTTAATCAATATTTTTAGAATATTTCTCAAATCAATGTTAGTTTTTCAATCTAGCAAGATTTTGGTTTTTCACGCCAAGGTTAAAGGTGCATCGGTTTTAAAAATATCAGTCTGAGATCGTTCAAATAAGTGAAAAGTACAAATTGTCTACAACGTTCCTTCAAATGATTCCCGCTCGAGTCATTTTCAAACAGACGTATCAATAGTGACTACTGGCATTAACATCACGACCCACCGAATCGAACAAGCTGTAAGGGCAAAACGCCAATGTCGTTCTGAATCATCATGTAACGAAACAGCACTGTACTCCTGATTGCCTCCTCACTGCTACACAACGACGCGACGGTTTTCTCAACACTCAACCCCTAAACCATCGCTTCTTCGTTCCCACCATGGCAATATACACAGGGGACGTTCTGGTCTTGTTCCGCAGCCATTTTTCTAACCGGTGTACTCAAACTGATGCTTATCAAGTGACGTCAGAAGACAGTACACCTCATCACAATGCTGTGACCAGTTCAAATTTCAGAAAGACGAATTTAAAAGTGGCGCACATAAGTTCATAAAGATGCTACTTGTACGTTTATGTTATGGATCACATATACAGAAGAGCGCCTTTTATCAAAGAAAAACTAGACAGAAACACAAATAAATAGAAAATCGAAAAGAAAATCGCAGGCCTAGTTGTTTTTTCTCTTTCTCTATTTCTCTATTCCTCTGGAATTATTCCCATTTGTACTGAGGTATCGGTTGAGAATTCCCCCTGCAGATCGCCCCATCGGCACCCTGTATAAAAAGGCGTCACCGAGTGAGTATGCCTCATTCGAGGAGATGGCCCGTTGAGGAAGACCTGTCTCGACACGAAGGCGGAGCCGCCACATCGAGACGAAGAAGAACCGTGGACCATCGACTCGGACCATCGGCTCTGGCGAAAATGTAGACGTGGAGACTTTAGCCGAAGAGAAGTGGAGACTAAATATATTTATCAATTCGTGTAAGCTCATCAAAGAAAGAATACATATCACCTACTTTATTTGTTTCAGTGCTTTTTTCCACAACATAGGAAAAGTCTGGAATCCGGTGGCATAAAATTCCATATTCCACACGGAGAATCTATTTTATTCCAGAAGAATCATAATAGTAACAAAGTAAGTGATGGTAAAATGGTACAAGGTAAGGCGTAATAATAACAATAACAATTGTAATGGTAATAATACATTTGACTTTAGTGAGTGCTATCAGCAGTTTCCTCATCGCAATGTGTGTTATCAGTGGCGAAATTCTTAAGGATCTCATCAAAAAAGCACATTTCATCAAAATCAACTCCACTGCGAAGTTAGCGATACAGGCTAAGAAGCAGAACACTGGGCGAACAAGTCCGCTTTGCCCTTGAGGACTCCTACTAGGATCGAAACCATTGAGCTGGCCGTATCGGTCAGTTCTGAGCGGGTGTTCCGGTGTAGCAGAAGAGAGCGGTTCTTCGCGTAGCTGATAGCCTATCGCTCCGAGACACCACCCTACGCGCCAACGAGGAGTTCCAAGAAACCCCACGCTTTCCACCGTAGGCGACACAAGCAACAATTCCTTCGACGAACTCAGCGTACGGAGCGGGCGAATAGGGTAGTCCACATATCAGACCAAGTCCATTTCACACTGAATGACCAATTTTTTCGTAATCACTTATAACGTTGCAAGGTGGCCAGCTGTCTTTAGGATATTACACGAACTGCTCGGCTCGCTTGTTCTCATGATTCTTCTGGTTAATTGGTACTTTCAAAGTGTTCCACTTGGCTTCCTTTTAAGTCTTGTAAGCAATAGTGACTATAGTCCTAGTGTTCATCTCAACATTCGGAGGTATTGGCATTTCATGTCAGGGCACACGAATGACAAGTCATTTTAATAATAAATAAACGAATAAAAAGATGAATTACAATTAAAAACAAGCTTGCTCAGATCCAGGCTTTTCATACATGAAAGTATTCTCTTTACAAAAATACATTGGGGAGTTTAAATGAATCACTTTAGAAACAAATTTTTTAGTAACTCATCAGTATAAAAATAATATTTCACTGGACTCAACGTTTTGTGCTCGTTTGAGGGTGACAACTCAATAAACAACACTAAATAGTGAGGAAATACCTGTTTGGGGCGGAGCGGACGAACTAGAAGATTGCTGTGGTGGCACGGTTCCGAAGGGTGGAGGACCAGCCGAAGAGCCGTCGCCTCGGTCTTCACCCATCTGAAACGGCGCCATACGTATTCTATGCAAAAAAAAACACTGGCGAAAAGAGTGAGAAGAGCGACGAAATGACTTGTGATAGCGTGCAACATATAGGTTAGGGAGAGAAAAAAAAGAACGAAGTCGACGAAAAGGGAAACACCGCCGAGCGAGCAAGGATCGCTGCTGATGAGACCGGCTGTCGTCGCTCGCTACCTTATCAGGTTTGCGTGGGAGTCGTTACTACACCGAGATAAGTCGCCTGGATCAGTTTAAGGGTCTGCCATGCAAACATACAACTTTCGAGCGATGTTCTTCTGAAGATCCGTCTCGGTAAGATGATGAAGACACTACATCGAGAACAAGAACAACTGTGGACCATCGGCTTTCGGATCATCGACTATGACGAAGACGATGACGTCGAAACGTTAGACGAACAAATCTATCTATGAACCTCGAGAGGTTGGCTTAACAATCCAAAAAGGTATTGATTATTACTGCCGAGGTTAGGTGACGGTCGGTTGAAAATTATTGTTTTACACAACAGTTTATCACTCAACTCACGGTTAGTGGCAGGTATCGCTTCTACTTGGATACTTATATGTCTAAGTGTCCATCTTTTTAAGTTTTGTAGGTTTCAGTAAGTTTTTATTTGATCTCTACTTCTCTGGTTCTGTATTTTTCTTCTGGAGTATTACAATAAGCGTACTAGGGTTATATAGATTATCACCAAAGCATTTGAGTTAGGGGGAAGTTCGCTACTTTACGACTATGTAGTTACCAGGACGTCGCGATATCCTGTAAAGGTCCATACTTGTCTGAGCTTCCAGATGGAAATATTGGATTCGCAAATCAATGAGATCAACGCCATGGTGAAGAAACAGCAGGATAATATGTGACTGGAAATTTTCAAGAGGGTAGATACAAGAGAGAAAACAATGAGAGCAGATACTGGTGAATGACGACTATTACCGAACTTTTCTGATCAGGGCGAGAAGTCGTCCTCTTCGGTCTGGTGCTGCGTGGACCATTACAGTCGTATTCACTTGGAATCCCGAATAGGAGAACGAGCGCGTGCAGTGTATCGTAATTGCAACATCCTGAAGGTGACCGGTTGCGAGCACGAAGTGGCTTTAACCGCCGACGGCGGTAGCCGACTCAACTTATTGCAGTTGACACAAAGTCCGGCACCGAGACATTCGATTCGATGCCACTCTCTCCTTGCGAATACCGATGACTATATGGCATAGTGGAATCTCAAAAAGCGTGCATAATCCATATTATTCATTAATATGGCCTTATGCGAAATCCTGACATTTATGTGAACCTAGGATAGGGTTAGTTAGCGTTAAATTAGTTAGTCTCATAATTTTGAAGCAGATCCCATTCAAAGATGCCTGCGATAAATAACAGAGCGCAACATATCAGATTTCATGAAGCCGTGAAGAAAAGTATCAAATATAGCTAGTTCGCCCTTGCTACCGAATCAAAGAGCGCTCAGATACGCCAAAAAGTAGACCAAATCTAGAAAACACTAAAACAGATTCTTGGCCACTGATGGTGGCGTCAACCAAAGAAAAAATTAGTATCCATAATACAAAATAACTTACGAGAGAAAAGAATACAAAGGAAGGAATATCGACGGCTAATAGGAGTTGAAGAGGAATAAGGCAGTCACAGCTGCGTTAGAGGCGTATCGTTGGCGATGCATGCGTGCTTCGGGCTAATCTCCAAGCGAAAAACCCGTTGCGCAGTCGTAGCAGCGTCAAGCATAATGGAGTTGTTTTTAGATGACGAGAGTGAGCTGCCCGAAACTGGACATACCACGAAGCCCAAGCAGAGATGACCACTAGCTAGCTTCAATCGTTCCACTTTAGCCACCACTTTTCGAAATCGACCATCTCGTAAACAAAAAGCTGCAGGGCAAGCACTGAGCGATGGTGAATGATCGCATACATGCAGCACGATTCAGCATGAAATCGAAGTAACATTTGCGAATTAAAACAACACTCAGAAACCGTTGCTATACAGCGAACATCAGGACAAACTAACAAGTGTCAATCACATTTGAGTGAAACGATTCACACTTGTGATGGGAAGTGGACGAACCAAAATGTAATCCCAAGGGAAGCGTTGGAGGTACAAATGGTACGTATCGAATCGGTAAAGCGCCGTCACTCTCTCAACAGCCATCAAAAAGGCGTCAGCGAGGAGATCCGGCACGTCAGCGGCATTGTAGCGTCGCGCTTCCCTAAGAGAGGTGCGACAAGCCGTAAGACCTAGCGGCAACTTGCGAAACACACGGTAGCTCGTTGGAACAGAAACGAGATTCCTAGCAGTATTGGAATTAGCTCCAGTTATTTCAAGCCACCTCATATCTGTTTTTATTTGCTTAAGAACGAATACAGTTCCCGGACTCCTTAAAAACAATGCAAGGTAATCAACTTTCCAAAAAAAGAACAGAAATTATTGGTTCCTTAAGTCGTGTGCAGTAACTGTTTACCGCATCGCGACTCTTCAGCTGGAAACATTGATTAGCCATATTTCGAAGTGCGTGAAGGCTTTATACCTCCCAAAGGTTCACCACCTCATCGTGGCTGGGAGGTGTTCCTGGGTGTCGGACTGCGATGCACAGCTGGGGATTCGTCCCTTGGCAGGGTCTCCCAAGCTGAGAAGGAGTCCGGCGTTTCTATTAGGGAGCCTAGCTAAGAGTAAACCAATACGAGGATCTACCACCCTCCTGGTATCAAAGTCGCATGGTGGCAAATCTCCATCTGATTCACAAGGGCTGCTACTACCTGTAGTGGTGAAGATCTCGGGCAGACTTTGGCCAGGTTGACCTCGGGATTCCAGCGAACCATAATGGCTTAACCAGCAAATCTCCGAAAAGTGGAGATTATGCTGGGCTGCACAGCCAGTGAGGACGGGCCATTCAAGTATCTCAAGTAAGTAAGAAGGCTTTATAATGAACTGCTGGTCTGAAAAGCTAAAGACCTTTCTCGATACCATTCGTTATTTAATAAATAACGAATAAACGAGGGAATACAAGTGCAAGTTTCCGTGCAACGCTTTAAAATATGTCCCACTTGCTCCATTTCCAAAAAACTTTACCCTCGTGGGCTTGGTGAACTTCGAATAATGCCCAGTGACACCCAATCAACATTCTAAGCATCGCGTTTCTCACCAAAGACTACAAAGCGCCGTAGTCGATGTGGCGAGATCTACGCATTTGATTAGCATTCGTATTGGACACCATTTCCAGCCGATCAGCGCTGACCAATTCCGCTTTCGTACGCCTTTACCATAAGCGCACTCGGACACCAATTCAGTTTCTCTGCTCACAATTTTGATATCTAGAGAAGCCATTTCTAACCCCACCAGCCTCAGAAGCACCAAATAAATAGCGATGAAACTTAATGTCACTCCTAATATCGAGATCGAGTCATTGCACGAAATACGGTTCCGCGCGGTAACCGCTAGTCGGCAACGGCAACACATGCAGTGTATCACCTTGACACTGTCCACTCGATCATTTGTGGAATTCGCATTCGTGCGAGCGATTCTCACTGTCCGACCTACGGTAGCGAATACCCCGCCCCTAGTTGTTTATACGACGATCGTACGCGCCAAGTGGTCCGCCCCCTTTTTGATATGCACTGCGTCCGGGCGTTTGTTTACAGCGTGTGCTGGCCGCGCCCACATGTGGCAATGGCCTCAAATGTACCGACTGGCACGCAACGAGAGTGCAAGGTCACGCCGGGGCAGGCGCTAGCAGCGCCGGGAACCACGTCGACGACGCCCAGCTGCACGATTACGGGGCGGAGCGACGATCAAGCCGATTACCGTCACCAGCAATGACCTGCCGGGCCGCCGGCGAGGTGAACGTGAACGTGAACAGAATGACGGTAATACGTAGCGCACAAGAAGTCTCGTCCGTGCGTTTGCACCAGGGAACAGGAGTACTTTTGCATAGACGAATACAATGAAGAAACTTTTAGTACTCTGCATGATTTGATTCACAACTTTATAAGGCCTTTTACACACAGCTTTTAACATATAGCCGTAATCGAAAGGTTAACGATCACTGACAAAAAGTACTTCAAAATCAGCAAGGCCCCGACTAGGTGTTGAATTAAGCCGTCTACATGGAAAAAAGTTAGCCATCAAAAAATTTATGAACGACACGCCAACTATCATTACAGCCAATAAAAGCAAACGATTAGTTACTACAAAAAATCGAATATGGTGCAATTAAACAGCAGCTGAATGAAATTCAAAACAAGCAGTACGAACTGAAAGAGGAGAGGAAGCTGCTTCCTTCAAGTGGCCATCTGTTCGCTAGATGAGACTCTGAGGGAGTAAAAATAAGAAGAAGAAGGAGAAATCAGAAGAAAGTGCAGAGGTTGGCGATGAAGGTAGGAGTGCTGATCGTGGGTGAGCGAAAATAGCGGCGCAGGAGAGGGTTCGGCGCCCCGGCGGCGGCGCCACGACCTTGGCCATGCGCTGAAGAGGCGCACATCACCACAGTCTGTAAATAGGTCAACGACGAGGACACTACATCATTTGGTAGGACCCGCTGCAAGGTGGGACTAGACTTGCTTGCTAGGATCTCGATTTAAGGCGTGGACAAGGCCTAAAGACAAATTCGAGGACAGGATCTGAGATTCACGTACAGAGAACCAAAATCATATGCCTCGATTTAAAGATAGCAGCTACCAGTTCTAATCACAACTGTCTTGATTGACGAAATATGGAACCGACTCCGAGATCGTTCCATCTTGGGAATAAATATTAATGCGGTCAACTTTAAACAAGCTTATTGTCGTTCAGCTAAGATTCACTTCATCAAAGAGTCGCAAATCAACAAGCAAGAATAGGAAATGGGCCAAGTATTCAACGCTAATCCTTACTTTATTTGAAATGCGACTCCCCATTTATTCATTTATTCAGTTTAAAATCCAAGAAACGACAGCAATCTGTCTAATGCTGGCAAATTTATCATACAAGAACTCAAAACACGGCCTAAGTGAGCGCTTTGTCTTGACTGCTTATCCAGACCATTATCCAGATCTCGAATGACCATGGAACTATCAAGACGACCAATCAGTGTCTAATGGAGGCCACCGTCTCTTCTGGGAATTTCACTAATCCGTGCAGAAATTCTTAAAGGAATTCGAGAATTGCAGGCAACACTGACTTTTTTTTGGCTCACACGTAACTCCTTGAACTGACGAGAACTCAATCATTTACAATCATTTACGAGAATCATTCACTAACGTTCCGCTATAGTGAACAGTACAATGAATACAATGAAAAGTTTCATTGCCGATCTTAGTCCTCTCGTGGTCTAAGCCCAAATTGAGATTGAAAAGAGAGTGAGGATTTTATCGTTCACCCGTTTTCCTTAAATTTTGGTCAATTTCCATTTGGTTGTCTGCAAAAGCGCGCGTGTGGCGCAGTGGTCGGAGGCGCCCTGCAATACGCACGTGAAATCGATCCCAGCGCCCATGGCCAACCAAGCCTTCCATCCCTCCGAGGTCGGCAAATTGGTGCCATACTCCAGCTCGATACATCGGTAGGCCACTGCGGGTCATTGTAAGGCCAGATATGCATTCAGTCACCTCCAAACGATGCTTAATAAAGTCGAATGGATGGCGCATCCCTCGGGGATTGATCAACGCCGGCAGCTTTGTCTTTATCCTATTTATGTCTGCTAAATTCTCAACGATCATCAACTTTATGTCCATTGTAAGTAGTATGGTCGGACTACGAAACGAGATTTCGCTGAGAACATCATTCGAATCTTAACTTTGGACGTCAAAATGAGTGAGAACCATTTGAAGTTAATGATCCACGGCACAGTGACCACGTTCATCACTGGCAAGATCGCCAAAGCAAGTGAATAACCATTTTCTTCACATGAGCTTCCTATAATATCCAGAAGGCTACGTTGTACGTACATTTCTTGGGATTGCCGTCGAACTGCACACATTTACAATGCTCTTTGTTTTATAAAAAAAGAAGGCCGTAAAGTGATGGGTGGGCGTAGCTGCTAAGCTGAACCCAGTTGAATGGCGGCAATTTTAGTAAGGGAGAAGACGAGAAAGGAGATCACTACGATATTTTATTCTTCTGACCTAAGTAGTAGTTGCACACACCTGCAGTTGGATTAGCCATCGCAATTCATGCCTAGTCCCAAAACAAGACACTCGTCCGAGTAAAAATACTTGTCTAGGCTGATACAATACCGCGGTACTTCTTCATGCTTTCTGCTTTTTCCTGATTTCTCCACAATTTTACACTCCAAGTTTTCAAATACGTAAAACGTATCGTAGTTCTTGATATAAGAAATGAAGTAGCCTACAAGAACAACCATGGAAATGTCCGCTTTTCAAAACGAGAAAGAGCTAAGAATAAATCCAAACTCTTCAAATCAGTTAGTGGAAAAGATGAAGGTCTATAAAATTCATACTTTTCAAAATCATCTTTTCTGAAGAACCATAAACAGTCATTGTTACCACGCATGATATTGAAGCAACTGCAGCGAAATAATTTTCGCTATCTTTAAATACGCGGATTCTTGGACGGCGCGTTCTCACTGATTGTGTAGGCCCTAGTATATTCTCCACTTTTGATTTAGCCACTGTTTTTCCCTAGTGTCCTGAAGATAGCCTGACCAATGTCTGCCCCAATCTTTAAATACTTATTTAATACTTGAACGGTCCATCCTCACTGGTTGTGCGGGCTCCAGCATAATCACTACCTTTCGGAGACTTGCTGGTTAAGCCACTGCGATTCACTGGAATCCCGAGGTCAGCCTGGTCAAAGTCTGCCCCAGGTCCTTATCACCACGCGCAGTCGCAGCCCTTGTGGATCAGAGGGAGATTCGCGACCATGCGACTTTGACACCAGGACGGTGGCGGATCATGGTATTGGTTTACTCCTAGCTAGGCTTCCTGATAGAAACGTCGGACTCCTTCTTAGCTTGAGAGACCCTGCCGGGGTGACGAATTCTCCCGCTGTACATCGCAGTCCGACACCCAGGAACACCTCCCAGCCACGATGAGGTGGTAAACCGTTGGGAGGAATCTTTAAATAAACATGAAAAAATAAAGAAACCGTGAGAGCAGTGCTGAATTGAATGTAAATGTGTGACAAAGAGATTTGGAGAAGTGGATCGAAGGAAACACTCGCAGCACTTCGATGAGACTCCTCGTCCCCGCGTCGTTCTGGTGACGACACAATGCGATTCCGACAGCTGCGCCGATTGCTTCGCGGTCAAGGATAGTTCTGATGTGTAGTTTTGTAAATCCGCTCGATTCCACGAGTCTCGCCATGCAAATCGCCGTTGACAACCCATGCTTCGAACTATCGATTTGCGACAATTAGATAATAGGTTGGATTCCGCAGAGATGAAAGGTTGAACTCCTCTTCGGTGAGTGGATTCAAGAGAGAAATCCACCATCGATTACTCTCCAGCAACAAATACATAGTGTCCTATAGCTCGTTTTCTGGTAACCGACGATGATTTCTTCATCATTCGAGTAGTTCAGGAGTTGGAAGCCGCACAGAATATCAGAAGACACTGATTTCACTCAAAGGCCTTTATCGCATATATAATTTTTATGTAGTGTTCTTTCAATTACTTTTGGAAGTAAGAGTTTCAAAAGTTAGCATTAAATCTGAATACCCAAAGTTCAAAATGAAAAGTGGAAACTGCGAAGATCAACGACTCTTGAGAAGACCGTCTTATAGTACAGGACAAGTCGCCACTTTTCAATTCCATTCTTATTCGAGGTACGAATCTTGACGCAAAAGAAGAAAAAAAATGTCCCATGGGTCCTAGGAAATCGCAATTCTATTTTGATAGAATAGGAGGACTTGTGTGGTGGGTGTGGCGCAGTGGTCGGAGCGTCCTGCAGCACACACGTGGAATCGATTCCCGCGCCCATGGGCCACCAAGCCTTACATCCCTCCGGGGTTGGCAAATTGGTACCAAACTTGTCTAGGAAAATAGCAGCACTAGCTCGATACATCGGCAGGCCACCGTGAGTCACTGTAAGGCCAGATATGCATTCAATCACCTCCAAACGATGGTTAATGACGTCGAATACATGGCACGTCCCTCAGAGATTGATCAATGCCGGGAGTTTCATCCTTTATCCTTTTAGGGTTCGCATTTTATAAACAAAATCTGCGGATTTGGATGATTTTCATTCCATCTAAGGAGCCGAGATATTTTGGCTTAAAGTTGGGAGCGCCTCTTATTTTCACATCTTATGTACTGTATACAATAGGTCTCGAACGATAAGCACCGTGAAAGAAGAAACTGAAAACTGCAACATAGTATTTAGGAGCTACGAAAG